GTTGTGTGTCTGTTTGTAACAGTTGTGTGTCTGTTTGTAGCTGTCGTTGTTCTCTTTGTGTTTGTTGTGTTGTGTGTCTGTTTGTATACACTCTTCATCTCTTTGTGTCTCCGTGTTCTACTTTATAAACAAACATTAAATCACACCATGGAAGTGGTTTCAGTTTATTGAGCTTATAAAATATAAAGTGAGAAAGTGTCAACACAACCAAACACGATGCGAAGCTCACAGGTTGAAAAAGCAAAAATGATTAAAAAAATTCTTTGTAGTAAATTTGTGAAGTGAAACTTTGATTAATTTGTGAAAGCTTCAAAATGAAAAACCCTCGGAATCAAACAGGAAATAAAACAAATGAAACTCAAAGAAGAATCTGAATCAGTGCAAACAGCAGAACTTCACAAGTTCAAACACACACAAGAGTGTGATTCACTCACACGTTCACTAACAACAACACAAACAAAGCTACACACCGTTTCTCATTCTGTCTTCTCGACAATCACGTCCCTGAAAATCTTCATCGTCTGCACTTAAGAAACCGAATCTGTTCTCGTCTCTTCTCGTATGTTCACCTTCAGGTTCCTGAGGCTGTGATGACTCATGTCCACATTTGAGGTTCTCCTGCTAAACTGCTGGATTTGATCTGGATGAGGCGATGAAGCGTCTTCATGACGTCATCACCTCAGCGTCTCAGTTCAGCCAGGCGTAGGCGAGCAGCTCGTTTTCTCTCCACAGATCGCAGCGAGCAGCCGAGTAGTTCTGAGTCACCGACAGGCGGCCGGACAGGAGAGCAGTGGCTGCTGGGAATTCAGGCCACTCCTTCTCCATCTTACCTGCACGGCAGAGAACGAGTTCAGTGTCATGTTCAAAAGGAAAAAAACACAAGTCGCACGGGGAGAAGAATTTAAAAGACACAATAACGTCGATACGTCGTCATCATCGACAAAAACAGGAAATAAAATGCTTCATTTTTACATTTCAAAGTGTCGGGGCCATGTTGAAGAAAAAACGTTTCAAGAATAAAGTCGTAATTTTACCATTTTTAAGGTTTTAAAAATTTAACTAAATCATTCAGTGGCCTTTAAAATGTGCTCAGAGATCATCATCATCATCATCATCATCACCTGTTTTGGCGAAGTTGACGAGGTGACGTGTGATGACATCCTGAAATCTCTTGTCCTCGTCAGAGAGAGGTTTCCCCAGAATAACCTCCAGTCCACCAAAGAATGCCACAGCGTCCAGACGGTGGAAGGCGAAGCGGCTGGGGAAAGGCAACAGACCGCCGGACGTGTTGACCGGTCCGGACGGCGTGTGAGTCACCACGTAACGATACACGGGGCTGGTCAGCGCAGCTGCAGACAGAGAGACTTTCAGATCGAGCTGAGACGTCGGGACATAAACAACAGAGGTTCTGCAGAAACAGGGGTTGAAGAAGTCGTCTTCTTTTCTTCTGGAGTTTACCTGCAGCTGTCCGTGCCAGCTCGTTGTTGGGACACGTGACCCGGATGTCAGACACCATGGTGGTGTACGCCCTCTCCGGGCAGCGGTCTGCGATGGGACAGGGGCCAGAGACCGGATACAGGTCCAACGCATCTTTAGGGAGTTTCTCACTGAAGGACTCAAGTTTATCTGACGGGAGGAATCAGGACACGTTCGGAGGCAGTGATACAGAGAATTTTAACATTGAACATTTAGCTCACAAGCGTAGTTAAATAAAGGTGCATTAATATTTCAGAATAAACCGGTAGTTGCTTTTTAATCCGAAAGCAGTGACTTGATAATAATTGGTCAGATTTCTCAGCAGCACTTTGTCCTGATGACGACACGAGCTTCCCCGAGGGAAATGGCCGCTTTAAATATGACGAGAATATTAGCTCCACCTACTGGACTCTCTCTGACTCTGCAGCTATAAATGAGGCTGGATGTTTGCATATTGAGGCTTGAGCGTCCGCAGCAGCTGTTACCTGTCACAAACCACCTGTAGTCCTCCCACGTCCACATGGAGATGTTTTCAGCCGGAGGTCTGGAGAGAAGACACACAGTCCGATCAGCTGACAGATCAGCTGACAGATCAGCTGGCAGATCAGCTGACAGTGACGCGCCTGAACCGGGTGAGCTCTCACCTGAAGTCCACCTCCTGCTCCGTCGTCCCAACAAGAAAAGGGACGTCGCTGTGCCCTTCATTCATCTCCTTGAACGTTGGAGCTTTCAGGACAAATCCATCCACCACCACCACCGGGCCGATGAAGCGCCCTCTAGTGGGGAGGTCTGTCATCCCATCGGGTGCCCAGGAGGGGTACTCCTCCCATGGGATGGCCTGGGGGAGGGTTATAGTTGAATTTGATTATTTGATTATTATGATTATGACATCGATGCCTCGGCAGCACTTCACTGTTGTGGCTGCAGGTGGAGCTGGTTTTAATGGTCAGATAGTTTAGTCCAGTGGTTCCCAATCTAGAGGTCGGGCCCTTTCAAGGGGTCACCAGATAAATGTGAGGGGTCGTCAGATGATTCAAGGGACTATTAGACTCAGTGATTCGTTTTCAGCATCAGGATATTCTCTGTTTTTAAAGTATTCAAATGTTTGAAACCATCTTTTAGTCTACTGTGATTTGTTTTGTTTGGTCCAAGTCCCATCTGGTGACATGGAGGAGGCAGGGTTTATGACCTGTACTACTTGTGAGAGCTGTCATTTCATCCATCTTCATTTACAGTCCCTGAGAGAACTAAGAGAATTTAAACTGAGCGTGGCAACGCCGCAGGTTTCGTACCTGCAGCACCTGACGGACAGAGAGGCGTCGGACGCAGCTCAGGTCTCCGCAGTTCGTCTTCTTCAGGAACACCATGTTGTCGGACTCGGCTTGTTTCAGTGTCACATTATGGACGTACGGGCCACTCATGTCCACCGCTGCTTGGAAGAGACCCTTCGCCTGCGGGGACGTCATCAGGGTCCACACTGAGGTTCCATTGTCACCACACAGAATGAAAAAGATTCAGGCAGAATATGTAAAATGAACCTGCAGATTGTTGGATTGATTGTTTGTCAGTTAAAAACAGACAAAAGCAGCAAATTCTTACGTCTGAGAATCTGGAAACCATTGAAACATTTTTGATTAAAAATATTAATCAATGCTCAAAATATTTACTTATATTTAAAGGTTCAGTTTGTAGTATTTAGTGACATCTAGTGGTGAAGTTACATGTTGCAGCTGAATACCGCTCAGCTCAACCTCCTCTTCAAAGCAGGTGGGAGCATTAAGATGTTTAGCAGTCAACAGATGCACTTTTTAAAATTGCTCTTCAGACTCATAGTGCGTCAGTGACACATTTCATTTCCTCCTTTAATACCTGAGCTCTGTCCAAATACAGTCACTTTCCCTGGATCTCCCCCGAACCTGAGGATGTTACTCCGGACCCACTTCAGAGCTGCGATCTGGTCCATGAGGCCGTAGTTCCCTGTAGGTGACGGACGGAGGAGGATCAGTTAGTGACAAGAACCAGATTTTGTGTGACCTTGTTAATGGCGTCCCATTTTCTTCATCGGAAACAAAACCATCTCGCTAAGAACTAAATTTAACTGTTTTCATTCTGAGTGGAGAGGAAATGGGTCATGAAAGATGAAAAAGGACACGTGTGTCCAGAGTCAGACGTCACGCCATCACGTCATGTGAGGCTCAGTCATTCATCGGGTCATTTCACACTGAGGTCAGAGCGTCTTTGGATCATGGAACAGAAATAAACAGGCAGCCACAGTGTTTCATTAACATGGAGGAGATCTCATCACATTAACATTCGAAATAATAAACATAAAAATAATTAATTTACGATTAAACACAGACTTTAAATAAAGATGGACGACACGTCTTCACTTCTTCCCACTATTTAGAAATGAAGTGTTGAAATATCTCGGATATATGAACACTGCCATCTTGTGGTGTGTGTGTGTATCATCACCTGAGGTGTTTGTTGGAGAACCTTCTCTCAGCATCTCCAGCGCCAGGAAGCCGAAGGCGTTGAGTCTGTAATTGAAGCTGACGTAAACCACCCCTGTGTTGGCGGCGAGCGTCTCAGTGGGGGAGTAGCACCGCTCGCCCCCACTGAGCGTGTGCAGGTGTCCACCATGGATCCACACCATGACGGGGAGTTTGGCGTCTCGCTGCAGCGAGGGCGTCCACACGTTGACGAAGAGGCAGTCCTCCTGGCCCATCACCTTCCCTGTGTTTGACATCGGACGCACCTGGGGACACATGCTGCGGAAGCGTCCGGCTTCGGTCACCCCGCTCCTGCATGTCGGTGCAGCCGGAGGGGCCCAACGCAGGTCGCCAACTGGCGGAGCAGCGTACGGCATCCCCTTGAAAGAGTAGGCTCCATTTTTCTGAGGAAGAAGATGGATCGAGATAAAATGTGTTTGGAAATGTTGGTTGTAATGTTGCAGGTTTATTTTATACTTTCTAAACTGTGAATAATGAACTCACATGTCTTCCTCTGAATTCTCCACAGGGAGTCGACACCTGAGCGAAACTTGACGGCAGCGTCTGGGCCACGTAGGCCAGATAGGTGGCGAGAGCGAGCAGGGCGAGGACGCCGAGGCAGATGAAGAAGATGCAGCGTCTGGAGAGCACCAGGAAGGGGCTGATGTAGTTTCTGTGATGGACGTACTGCACCTCCTCCTCCTCCTCCTGCACCAGGTAGCGGTACTCAGTCCTCGCTGGGACCTCAAATGCGTCCTGGTTCATCTCCGCTCTGCGTCAAAAAAACAAAAAACAGACGTCAGATCAGATTCACTCTGTTCATTTCATTTGTTGCTTATATTATATTATATCGTAAAGTTGTGTGTGTAACGTTGTGTTCTCTTGTCCTGTGTTGATCATCAGTCTGTGGTGCAGAGTGAAGTGAGAACACTTTGTGTTCATCCTACCTGGTTTAACTGCACTGAAGATTTTATAGTTTTTCATCAGATAAACTGAATTTTCTTTATTCCTGTTCACGTGTGGTTTATATATAAGTTTGAATGATTCACTGAACTCGTGTTATTTTTTCATTCATCACGTTTCGAGTCTGTTAAACAACGACACAATCTTCAGACCCAGTTAATGAAGTTTGTCGTCCGGTGCAACAACACGACCACGTCAATAATAAACATGAGCAGAATTATCATCTGATTCTCACACTTGTTCAGGTGTACCTAATAAAGTGGCCACTGGTAATATTATGATCATATATAATATTATGACATTAACAGAAGATATTCATATTTAAGCACAGTTTACAGTTTTTAGTATAATTTTTTGATGCTTGTTGTTGGAAATCTCAATATTTCCTGTAATATTTCTCCGTCTTACTGTGAAGTTCTCTGATGTTTTTTATCAACTAAGAACAATTAAAAGTCGTACAAATCGTAAATTATAAAGATACAGGAACTATTTTTAAACTGTATCAAAGCTTAAAAGTCTTTTTAATGGTACTTCATCTAGTTTTTATAAGTTTCGTGGTCATGTTTAAATTCCTGTCACATCATTTAGAGTTTTAATTAGTTTTTGTGTTATTTTGTGTCTTGTTTTACTTGTTTTTACACATTTTTTGTAACTTTGTTTTGAGAAGTGCTACATAAATAAAGTTATTATTTGTAGTAGTAGTATTATTATTAGTAGTAGTAATAGTAGTATCATGTATGCAGATACAAGTTTTGAGTATTTCCGATTCCTTCTGTCCAGAGACGTGAATGCAGTCAGTTGTAATATTTTAGATTGTGTTCATATCCTGAGCAGAACGTGTTGAGGCTGGAGGAGCAGAAACACCAGGAGGAAATAAATCACATGGAACAGACGAAGAGAGGAACTCACACACAACCACAACACAACAACACAACAACAACACAACAACAACACAACAACACAACAACACAACAACAACACAACAACACAACAACACAACACGAGGAGTCACAACGAGGATGAGGAGAATAAACCCGAGTTTCTAGTTTGAACTCAGTTTGCATCAGAAAATAACAGAAGAGAGAAAGAAGAACTTTAAGTTGCAGAACTTCTTCTTCTCTTTTCTTTTCTTTTCTTCAGACGCATCGTTTCTTCTCTTTCTCTCTCAGACACTTTGAACAAAAGATTAACTTACCATGTCTCACGCGCACACGCAGCGGGAAACAAACAACGGTTGACGCACTTAACTTGTTTTCAGGGTGGAGCGCGCACCGTGAGCGCGCATGTCCGGCTCCCCCCCCCCCTCCCTCCCCCTGAGTCACATTTAAAGAGACAGTACACGAAGAAAAACTCAAAGGTCAAAACATGGAAACAAAACAGTTCGTAGAGTCCGAGTCCAGAAAGTGAAGCCAGTGTGCCTGAAACCTGTGTTCACTGTACCGACCAGCAGGGGGCGACTCCACTGGTTCATTTAGTAAATTATGACCCATCAAGAGTCAAACAGGCCATGAAGCACCGCAGCGTGATTGACAGCTAGTACCGTCCAACTGGTGCAGGTCGCAGGTGTAGGTGGGCGAGTCCTCGACGTCTCAGTCAGGCTCCACCCCCCGCTCCTCCAAATATGGTTACTTTGGATAAAATGTCAAATCAAAGCTTCAAAGCAGCGAGTGATGTCATCATGTGTCAGAGAGAAGCTGTCCCTGGCGACCACCCGGCACCAGAGTCTGAAAATCAAAATGTGTAAAATGGCAGAAAAGCGCTGATGGAGAGGTTAAAGAACTTTTAGAATTCAGAAGGTGATCATGTGTAGTTCACCGTGAGTCGTTACTCTTTCACTCGCCCCAATAAAAACAACACGACACAGTTCGTTAAACGATCTCTTTGGTTTCACTCGTGTTTTAATGACAGTGAAATTTACTGGATACAAAAGTGTGAAATTGTTTAACATGAGAAGTGAAGCTGAAGCCTGTCAGAGAATAAACTTTCAAATTCACTGAAACACAAGTGACGCTCGTAACTTCTCCTCTCGGACTAAATGAAGATGATAGTTAAAGTATACGTGTTATAAATATCTGGTTCATCAGTTTATTCAGTGAAGAGTGAAAACAAACACGTCAGTGATATGAAACCATCACACATCCTCACATCAGCCTCTGATGAAGTCATTAAATAACGTTTTAGTTGAAATACATGATTCATACGTCGTTCTTGGAAAAATGATCCTTAAAACAAAAAACATTGTGTGTGTGTGTGTGTGTGTGTGTGTGTGTGTGTCCTTCATACGTCTCAGTGTTGATGGTTTAACATTGACACTGAATATTTCCCTTTTTGTCAACAAATCACATGTTCAGCAAACTAACAGTTTTAATAATGTGTCCGTTAATGAGATTTTATTTATAGTAACAAGAGTAACGAGTATTTTCACTCACACATTTTACCAAAGTACTCATGTAATAATGTAACGTAACTCTGTTCAGGTGTGAACATGTGTCACTGGGTCTTTCTCACCTGACAGTAGAATGTGACTACACTGACCCCTTGTGGTCAAATCACATTTCCCCATTGTACATGTAAATAAACACACAGAGTTTCTGTTTGCAAAGACCAAAAGATCAATTATCTTATCTCATCTTATCTTATCTCATCTTATCTTATCTTATCTTATCTTATCTTATCTTATTTTATAGATGGTGTTTTCACCCAGTCAGATTCTTCATTGTTTGTGTGTCTGTGTGTGTGTTTTTGTGCACAGCTATAAAACAT